GTCCTTGTGGAGGTTATCAGTTCTCTTTATTTTTAAATATATCTAGGAGGCTTCCAAAAACTGAGAGATACAGGAATCAAACTGTCCTGGCCTTGAATTTAAAGAAGAAGTCAGGTTCATAGTAACACTACACTCATCGGTAGGTTGGCGTCCAAAAGACATTTGCTCAGTTACGTACACCTTTTATATTCCCCGCCCCCAAAAAAAGGATTATAAAGATTATATAAATTGTGTTTATCACTTTTCCACTCATTCTCTAAGAGCAAGGACATGACACAGGGGCCCTTAGATCAGGAGCTATGATCTCTTCCATAACAGTCTCTTACTTCTATAACAAATGGGCCCCTAAACATCCAGCTGTCTCTGTAAAACCTATGTAAATAATAAATTAAAAATTACATGTCAAATGAAAAAAATTAAAACTCAATGGGCCAGATAGATATGCCCCCCAAGGTACTAATCAATGGTGGGGCACATTTGGCTCCTGGAGCTCATGGCTTGCCTGGCTATTACTACTCTTGGGACCCCTTAGTATTATCTGTTTAATTCTCTGTTTTGGACCGTGCTTGGTTTGCTGTTTTCAAAATTTCTTGCAGAAACGATTGAGGGCATTCACCAACCAGACAGTCACAGAGTTCATCATGGCAGAGTACCAGCCAGTACGGCAAAAGGAGGAGGTCCCCACTTGCCACGTGCCTCATCAGATCCAGGTCATCGCCCCTTGTCAGCAGGAAGCAGCTCCAGAAGAAGAGACCTTCGCCCAACTATCATAAAACAAAAGCCTGGAATGATAGGTCTCCCACCACCTCAGCAGCTATTATGTATAGTAGCTGCTCTCTTCCTATGGTGCCTTGCCCCCTCCCATGTGTGACATCATGCCAAGATGGTTGCTCCCACCAAAGAATAAACCCTTCTTCCCAGCATGCCCCGTTCCCACCTAGAGAGTAACCTAATACTCGCTCACCTCCTACCACCTAGTGACATCACCGGCTCCTCCATTCCCTAGTCACTACCTCAGTCAACCCCACCTCAGCCCCTACAAACCCCACCCCAGTCTCTATAAAAGACTCTCCCTGCCCCAGCCAAGTTGCTTTTGTCTCTCCTTTGTTCAGAGACAGCCCGGCAGATCTATTCCCCTAATAAAGGCTTGTTGTGGCCTGGTCTGGTCTTGGTCTTCGGCCCTTTTACCTGACAACTTTGTTTCCATTTTTTCCATTTCTCATAATCTTTCCCCTCCCTTCCCTCCTTTCCCCCACCCCTTTGGACCTCTTCTTCCTATTTCACATTCTCAATTATTCATTCTAATCATTGGTACATTTTAGGTACACAATATAATGACCTTCATCATTGGACATTTGTACCTTTACATAATCTCTCTTGGTTCTTATTTTTCCCACTTCCCCTACCCTTCCTTCAACCCCTCCATCCCTCCCTATTTACAAAGACTTTGTATCCATTTTTTCATTTTCTCATATTAATTCCATTCCGTTCTTTCCTTTCCCCTACCCCTCCCACTTCCCCTTGCCCTTTGCCCCTTTTCTTCCTATTTCACATTACCTATTATACATTTCAGTCCTTATTTACACTTTCAGTTTCTCATACTAGAGAAACTATTCCATATTTACACATGTGTGTCCTATTTATTTCACTTCAGAGTATCGCCTCAATGTGCATCCATTTAGCTATAAATGTCTCTAATTGCTCATTTTTTATGGCTGAGTAGTACTCCATTTTATTAAAAAACC